ACAGAACACCGAAATTACATCAGAACTATCAGCATTAACATTGTTACAACAAGCAATAAGTTTCAGAGACATACATGACTTTCGTGAATCTAGAAACAGTGTCAAAACCTGTTTGGGATCTAGCTCGTCTATAATAGAAACTGCCGCTAGCGCATCTGCGTATGCATTGATCCCAAGATTAAGGGTTTGATCCAATAATATCTCGCGACTCCTTTGCGAGATCTGAGCCTTAAAACTCTCTACGATTTGCCACTGGTGCTGCAGCAAAGGGAAATTCGACAACACACTCTTACTGTCTTTATCATTAACCAATTTGAAATGCACATGTTTTGCTCGAACATAGCGAGCTGAAGCTTCGAGAAACATGGACTCATCAAGGCAGCCCCATATGTTCTCCGGGGTATCCACCAGGTACTTAATCCGGCAGGCAATTCCATAAATACGGGCTCTGTCGGGGTTAAAAGCCACATTAGGAGACCTCGGGGAATCAACAGGTGAAAACAGGGAATGTAAAATTGCATTGCGAATGGCATCAATATTCGCAGAAATGGATTCGCTAGTAGACTTCATCAGAACAATGGAGTCTGCGGAATCGATGAGATCCCGATAGCGATTCCCGACCAGCTGCCGTAGCTCCTCACTTTTGTCGGAAATCTGTTTCCTCGTAGTCGCCTCCACATTTCGGATTTCCGATATGGATTTCGTGCGGAACAAGGATTCGGCATCCTGGATTCCATCACTTCCCATCGTGTTTTTTTTCTTCCTCCAAAATTAGGGTTTTCTGATTTCAAGTAGTTTATTGGTGTTTACTCAAGTTGCTGCATCAATGGCGTCCGAATATCGGAAATGACCCGGTTAAATGGATACGGGTTCCTGGATCCTGAAATCAGATCCGAAACGGGGAGCAAATCCTGATGGCGAGTATGAATTTGCCCGTTTATATTCAAGTCTACTGTCAATGGAACGAATCGGATCGCGCAAGAAGGAAATAGTCATCCAACTTATTCAACTTTTTTACTATCAAAATTTACTCATGGAACTATTAAGGGCTGAGGTTTTTTTTTTTTTCACCCATTTTGAGCGCTACTCTCAGCCATCAAATTTGCTGATTTTAACCGTTTCTCGTATTCTCATGTAATTTTATTCTTTATAAAATAATTTTTTCCAATCAACATATTTTGTTTATAATTAAATTGTAAATAAAACTATATTAATTAGAAAATTATACTATAATTAAAAATTACTTATAAGTAAAAAATTACTTTTATGTTAAAAATTTGTTATAAAATAAAAATACTACTAATAAAACTAAATTCACTTATAAAATATATAAAAAAGTTACTTATAAGTAAAAAAATCTCTTAAAGTTATTTAAAAATATAAAATTTACTTGTAAGTAAAAAATATTAACTTATATGTTAAAAAAAAGGTTATCTATAAGCAAATTATCATTTGTGAGTAAAAAAATTTCTTATAAAAAAATTTACTAAGGATATATATACATAATTTTATTTTTTTAAAAAACTTTCAAAATCGGTGAATAATAAACTCTCAAACATAGGTTAGAAAGTTTTAAAAATCGCTACTAAAACCACTCAAAATCGATACTTTAAAAAACGCTCATAACCGGTATTGCGAAACTCCCGATAAAATAATTCACCCATCATTTGTGAGATTCCTTTTCCTTACAGTTGTCTTATCTCACCAAAATCCTATGGTACAAGGTACGATCATTAAAAAAATTACAATTCAATAAAATCGTCCAAGTTAAAATGTTACATTTCTCATCAAACTTATTTATGGTCATGATTTATTTGTCAAATTTCAAACGCTTCCCAATGATTACTCATTTTTTAGACGTTGAACTGCATTTATCATTCGCCAGATTACGGTCTCTTATTATTGACTTATTGCATGGAAATCCCTCTTAACAAGTTATGATCGTTAAATCAATTATAACCCAAACAAACTATCCAGCTCACAAAATTTGTCATATGTAAAACATGAGTTCCACACTCCCATAAAATTTTCTAAGCCCCAATTGTTTCTCCCAATTCAACCCTAAAAAACATTAGTCCCTAATAGGGGTGTCCAAAAGTCTCGAATCGAATCGGACCGAACCGAACCCGAACCGAACCGAACCAGTGGTTCTTCATAAATTAAATGCCCGAAAGGGTACCCGAATCGAGAACCGATGAGTTTGGGTAGGGTCTCGGGTCTAGACTAAGAACCGAAGAATCGAATAAGAATTGAAACTAAATAATTTTTTTATTTTTTATATTGAATTAATTAAATTAGTTTAATTTTTTCTATACTAATTAGCAAATTAATTAAATAAATCAGATTATTTCATAATTTTAATTTGAAAGCCCAAATCATTTTTAAAACTCATTAGCCCATTTTAATTTTGAAGCAAATGAATGTATTTTATGTAGTTTTGCTGTAATATTAATATCTACTTTTTGGTATTTTTATGCATTGAATTAATTTGTAATTATGATACGGAACCGAACCGACCCAAACCGAACCGAACGGAACCGAACCCGAACGGTTCCATAATTATATTTGGACCCGACGGGTCCATTTATTAAATACCCGAAAGTTTTGGATCGGTTCGGGTCTCTTCAGAACCAAATCGAATCGACCCACGGACAGCCCTAGTCCCTAATTCACTTATCTCCCCGTGTACAACTAAATTGTATAGTGCAACAGGTCCATTTTTGAGAAGGATGAAAGAACTACTATTTATATAACTGTATTCCCTGATTGTACCATGTGTCATGCATCTCTTTAATCCCAATCTTCCAAATTTTGCAAGCGACTGTCCAACATTTCGAGGAATGAAATGTCACCGAACTCCACCTAGATTGAGGAACGAATAACAAGAAGCACGAACACAATCCACATGCTATTCCCTTCGTACACTAGCCGCGGATGCACTGTTGCAAAAATGGAAGATTGTGATTAGAGAAATGCAAAAAAATGGTACAATCGGGGGATATGGTTTTATAAGTAGTAGCTTCTTGCATTCTTGTGAACGATCGTCTATGTTTTAGTACACAATTTAGTGACATGTGGGTAAGATGATTGAATTGGGGACTATATTTTTTGGAGCTGAAATTGGAGACGAACAATTGAGGCTTAAAAATGTCATGGTTATGGAAGTCGCGTTTTTGGTGAGTTGGATGGTTTGACCGACTTGTAATTTTTTTAAAGATCGTAATGCATTACATGAATTTTTCATGTACGAGAAGAACGAAATCTAACGTAAAATAAATAGAGTACAATGTCTCGATGATGAGTAATCATTGGGAAGTAGTTCGAAGTTTGATGATTGAACTGTGCTCATAGTATATGTCAAGTGACTAATTAAATATTTTTCTTGGATCATTTGGCTAAATTGTAAATTTTTAACGACCATAAATTGTCACGTGAATTTTTCACACGACATGTTAGCAACAAAAGGATGATACCTGGCAAATGATGAATATAATGCAATGCCTCTAAAACGAGTGACTATTGGGGAGCAGATTAAAGTTTGATAAGTAAATCGTAACCATAATATAAGTTGGGTAAGTAATGAAATATTTTATTTTGAACTAGCAGTTGCCACAAAATAAAATTTCAAATTAGTCACCAACTTCTAATTTATTACAAGTTAAATCACTTAATTTTTAATTCCGTTCAATTACATCACTCTTGTAAACTTTCTATTACTGAAATTTGAGTAGTCCCTATTTGATTTAAATAGAAATTATATTTTTAGTAATTTTTGATAATTTTCTTAAAACACGGGATTGAAAAATTGATGAACATTACGAGTTTCGTAAAATATGTGGTTAAAAATGAGTTTCAAGAAATGAAGACCAAAACCTTGAAAATTGCGTTCGATAGCAACAAGTATATTAGTTGGTCGCTATTTAAAGAAGTTGACAACTCACAAAAGTGTAAATGTTACGAATATGCAAATCGGTTAGGATGCCGCATTAATTTTGTTAACAAAAGTTGGAGGACGTAATTGCTCCGAAATTAAAAGATGGGTAGCTAATTTAAAAGAAGTTAAAGTTCGATGAAGGAATTTTAGAACAATGGAGAGAAACTCGAACCTTCTACAACTCTCGATTAGAACAAATAAATAAATAAATAAATTATATGGCAAAGGAACAATCTAGCGTGCGCGTCTGCGCGATAGAATTCAAACTCTGAATAGAAAACTGTATCAGCAATTGACACATTGCTTGATTATATACATATATACATACACCAGACGCATTTCCAAAACGACATCTCCATCACTTCTCATTCTCTATCGATTTCCATCTGCTTCATAGAAGGTAATTAAATATTCATATCTGATTGTCGTAAATTTTATTCTTTGATTCAGTTAATAATTACTTCGTTTTCTTGAATATTCGTGGAAATTCAAATTAGGTAAGTGCAGTTCTGCAGAAATTGATTGAATCGTCTCTATCACTTCGAGTATGATTTGCCTGCGTGATTGTTGAGGGAAGATTGAAAAAAATTGCATCTATCTCTATCATCGTTTGAAAAAGGTGTTTCGCATGTTATGGGATTCACGTGGAAGACCTGAGTTCTAATTTTGTAACCATTTTTTATAAGAAAGTTTATTCTGGCTTAATCGAGACGGGCTGGGTTGAAAATAAAATAAATGTGTTATTTGTATGAAAGTTTAGTCTTTTAGATTAGGTGGTTTTATACCTTGTTAATATGATTAAAGTGAAAAAATTAGACTATCCAATCCCTTATAACTCGAAGATGTTGTATTCTTGACTTCTCTTATAACAATGATACTTGTTGCGAGTATAAATTTTCTTTTATGGTTTAGTTATTCGGAGCCATAACTTTTGGATTTAATGATTTTGAAATTTTAGAGGTTCGCGTGGGAGAAGATGCAGAGAGGAAGAGAAGTTAGAGAAAATTCTTCGAACAATTCAGGCAGTGGATTTGATAGTTTTGAAGGTTTTGGCTTTCGTGGGAGTATGTTTCCTAGCATATTTGGTGGAAGGGATCCTTTTGATGACCCCTTTTTCACTCGCCCATTTGGTAGCATGTTTGGTTCAAGCACTTTCGGCTCAAACAGTGCCCATGGAGAATCTCGACACACCAGTGTCAGTGGATCAAAGGGACTAGTTATTGAAGAGTTGGATAGCGATGATGAAAGTGTAGTAGAAGACGAGTTGCATGATGTTAATGACGTAGGCGATAAGAAAGATAAATTTAAAGAGAATGCTTGGTCTAACAGAAATCCTCTAGTCGAGCACCCAGAGGACCAAACTAGTGGTGAATTGGGGTTCTTATTGCATTCTTATTTTGTTGGACTGGTTATTAAGAATATTATGAAAGTTAATGTGATTTCTTATCATTGCTTACTCTTGCAGACCACCGCAAGAGCACGAACAACAGCCAAGAAGTTTCTTACAGAACCAACCATAGCAAAGCGGAGGGATCTCAACCACAGAGCCGGAACTTCCAGAGGGTAACTTATGGTGGTATTAATGGAGCTTATTACACTGCAACGACAACACGAAGGACTGGAAGTGATGGAGTTAGTAGCCATCTATTTTATTCGAGTTCATAAAATCTTAATTGGTTCAGGTTCTGGATTTTGACTGGTTTTCTGATGTACAGGTGATACTAGAAGAGAGCAAACAAGCTGACAAAACAACTGGTGAAGCAACACACAGGATTTCTAGAGGAATTCATGACAAGGTATGTTAGCAAGCTTTCTCTTTAGTGATTATCATATGTCAAACACTAAGGAAGAACCGCCATAAAAAGATTCTTCTATAAACAAAGGAAACTAGATGGTTTGGTCTAAAACTTAACGTTGCCATCACAAGAATTGCANTCCCTATCAAAATTCCCTGTAAATAGGCAAACTTACACTAATCGAAAGTGTCCCTTAATCTTCATTTGCAACAGTGGACATCAAAATCAACTTCTTTCCGTATTTGATCTCCACGGTTCGAGTCTGTATAGCCCTAGAGCCCTATAAAATGTGTTCCCCCCTTTCCGCCCAACTCTTTGGTTAGGAAAAATTAACTCTGTAGAAAAGAGTTTGACTTCTGCGTTAACAAGATCTTGCATTAACATTTTTCACAAGATTATGATGCTGTTGGGCAGAATTGGTTTTTATTTTGTTTCGAAATTATTATTTGTCTCATGACAAGTATTTCTGATTGATATTCCCCCTAGTTTTAGTATTTGTGAGGTGCATATCACATGAAGAAATTGGAGAATAGAAATTGTAAACCATTCTTGCTTAAATAATACTTCAATCGTGAGAAATGTATGATAAAGAATTAAAGTGCAATTTCTATATGTTGAATGAAGCTTCTTTAACAGGCAAAAATTATTTTATTGTTGTGACAGGGCCATTCACTTACCAGGAAGCTTGATTCGGATGGTAAGGTTGACACAATGCAGACTTTGCACAATTTAGCTGAAGGTTTGTCTAAGTCAAATATGACTAAACCCGCCCTGGTTTCTCTCTTCTTTCACGTGTGAGATTATGATGTTCATGTTCTACTGTTTCTCAGATGAGCTGCAAGGCTTTGAGCAAGCTTGGAAAGGTAATACCGATGGGCATTTGCCTGGTTGGAATACTGGATTTGACTTGCATTCTGGTGCAGGTAACTTAAGATTGATATGCCAAATGTCTTTCTGATAAGAGGGAATATGATATTGCATTCACTCTGATTGCATGTTGGCTATGCTGAACTTGACAATACAAAGAAAAAAATTAATCAAAATATTGTGAATTGTTGTGTGGGAGACCGTCAACTACTAAGTTAAAAAACATGCCTAGTGTATTAGGAAGTTATATTTTCTTTACGACTGCCCAAAGACCATGATTTCATGTATATGGGCCACTAGATTATGCATTGCTCCATTACTTTCATAACTTTGTGCACAAATAAATTTGGAAAAGAATAACACACACTTAGTTTGAGTGTCCTTAATACGAGTGCCTGGAACTATGTTAATGTTACGTATTTGAATCTGGAGTTATTATGAATAAAGGTGAGTTTACTAATGAACGGAATTTACATAAAGTAGAATTGTACCTAAAGAGGATTCTTTTCATAAAAGACGCTATCTTACAAGTCGGAAGAGGGAGGACCGGGTAAAATTGATACGGCCTATTTTACGGATTTTATTGTTGCTTTAGATTTTCCAAGTACATCTAGCATAGTGGGAAGAAAAGGATTTGTGTGGTCGACCCTTAATTTGTTCTTATAGTGTCATAATTTGGCATGGTCACTCCTTGTTCAATTAAGATATTGTGCATTACAGACGGTAGAATAGTTGTGTACTCTTCGATCTTAGCCTTTTTGTGGAGTGAAAAACAGATATAGGTTCCGGTGCTATTGGGAATTTTATTTTATTTAGTTTTTCCTCTCTGCCTTTGTATTTTCTTTCATTTTTGGATCACATGCTTATTCATCATTCCATATATGACATCCAATGGTTGTTAGGGAATAGTGGTGGTGCGCAGACTGATCTGACTACCTGGGGAGGTTTTGCTCGTCCATTTATGCAGCAGTTTGGTAGAGACGAAATATTTGGACCGGGTTGGAGTACTCGGGCTCAGTCTTCCAGTGGAAGACCCAAGAAGGTCGTCACGATTAACATTGAGTGAATTCGCATAGATTGTCGGGGTAGAGTCGAGAGCATTCATTGTTATCATCCCCAATCTATCCAGGACGATGATTATCTTGGATTGTTTTGCGTCTTTTCCTTTCAATAATGTATCGTATCTTATTGGATTATGAGGGCCGAGACACAGTTTGATGTTCAATTAGTGTTTGATGGATTGAAGTCATTTGTGTGGAAATATCTTTGTGGAACATTTGATTAAAATTCTATCAATTGATTGGGATTTAATCCTTGATAATGATTCTTTAGTTGAATAGTCTATTTGGTTTTGCTTTAAATTTTATATTCTACTATTTTCTTTTTTTCTAAAATTAGTAGTTGAACTTACTTTTTCAGAAATGGGTTAATTTCACAACCGATCACTGGAGTTACGTTAAAATCACAAAACGGTGACTGAAGTTTAAAATTTGCACTAACGGCAACTTGAGTATCATTTGGTTTCAATAATGGTCACTCAATGACATTTTTCATTTTAATTGGAACTTAATGGATCAAAACACGTGAATATATAACCTTGAGGACTTAAGTGTATATTTCATCTAAGCCCTTCATCTTAAAACGCCCCAAATTTTCTCAACACGCAAAAACAGGCTGAATATACACCAATTGGCTGATTTGAGGGAAATTGATGATGATCCATATGTTCTTCTTGTTTGCCTTGGTGATTAAAAGTCAATGGTGGTGGTGTACGATTGTGACTTGTAGCGTCGGAGCTGAAAAATGAGTTTGAAAACAGGGAGTTTGCTGTTTCGACCGTTTCAAAAATCTACTGTAGATTTTAATTTTCAACTGGTTTTGATGTTATGAACACATCTGTAGGAGCAGTGGGGTACTTGATCGACCTGGAGGATAGGTATGCCATGGGTGTCGCCGAAAATTTCAAAATTCGGTCATTATGCTTGGGCAGCCCATTGTGGCGAGATTTTTCTGCCAATTTCGACGGGATTACAGCCAGTGGTTGGATGAGTTGTGAAGTGAGCATTGATGGCTTCAAGACGGTATGTTGGTCTGATGGCCAAGATGGTTGGAAGTTGGAGTTATGGTAGTTCAAAGTTGGCGGCTCCAAATCTCAAAAATTCGGCCGTTTCATTGTGCGTGGGCAACCTACTTTGGCACGATTTTCAGGCCAATTCCGACGAGATTACGACAGCGGTTGGCTGGGTTCTGAAGACGACATTAAGGGCTTCAAGATGGTTGTTGGTCTGGTGGCCAGGTGGCCAAAGGTTCGAGTTATGATAGTCCAAAGGTGGCAGCTCCAAATTCTCCAAAATCTGGCCGCTTCATTGTGCGTGGGCAGCCCGCTTTGCTGAGATGTTCCGGCCAATTCTGACGGGATTATGTCTAGTGGTTGGGTGGGTTGTTAAGAGGGAGTTGATCTTCCTTTGTTTTAACTTCTAAAACAAAACACTCAACAATTGTTTAATGGGATAGGAACATATTCTCAAACTTGGAAGAGGAAATTTGGTCCGAAGAATTGATTTCATCAAATGGGTTTTTTCTTGAATCAAATTCAAACTATTTTTGCCATTTTCTTGAATTTCTTGGAAAATATCATGAAAAGAGGATTTGATTATTTGGATTCTTGATTGGAAGCTCAACCTAAGGATTGAGAAGAATTAATTGGATGATATTAGCATGATTTTTACCCTAATCCCTCCCAAGCGTTTCACGCCAAAAAGAAATGGTTTTTGAGGGAAATTTGTGATTTAGGTCCTCAAGGTTCAAGTTTCAACTATTTTGATTCATTAAGTTCCAATTAAAATGAAAAAGGTCGTTCAATGACCATTACTGAAATTGGATGATATTTCAGTGTTCGTTAGTGCAAGTTTTAAACTTCAGTGACCGTTTTGTGATTTTGACGTAACTTTAGTGACTGTTTATGAATTTAACCCTTCCAGAAACTATTTTATTTACTAACACTCTGTTTGTTTCTCATTAATTCCTCATTTGTAGAAGAAATTAATCATTAGTGAAATTCACCCAGCCGTAACAATTATTTTTTCTGCTTTTGCACAGAAAATGGGAAACAAATGGGTGCTAAAAACTCTTCATTTTTTAATCATCCTAATACGGTCACATTTAAATCTCTGAACAAATCGGGCATATTTAATTAAAGAAACTCATAAGTGCATTTTAAACTTAACTTGGCAAAAACAAGATTAATTTTAACATAATATATTTATAATATTAGTTTATATTTAATTAATAAGAACTTAAACCTTCAGTTCAGAACTTGGTCGACTTCCCAACTTTAGGATGTAACGCGAGTTAAAAATGTTCTTGCCGAGCAAAAGGTATAAGAGATTAGATACTAGCGTGTTAAGAATCGTATAAAGAATCGTCTTTTTAAAGGAATTAATCAGTGGGGGCCCACACTAATCTGTGTGGGCTGTAACTCTTACAGTCCATTAAGGACTGTACAAGTAGAATTTTTCATTCATGATTTTGCAGGTCCGCTACTTGAAAATGAGTACACGAGTATTTTTACTTTATTTAAAAGTAAACTTATTTTATCGAACATAATTTTTAAAACTACATTTTTATACAAAAAAATTATTTTTGTGTAAGCTTGTGAGCATGTTTGGTAGGGCTTAAAATTCAATTAAAATTGAAAATATAACCGTTATTGGATCCCACTAGTCTAATAAAAGTCAACAATAACGACTAGTTTTTCAATTTTAATCCGATTTTAATCTCTACTGAACACACCCTGTATTTAGTTTGGATGAAAATTAAAATTTTAATAGATTTTTGATAAAAAATAATGGAATGTATATTTATTAAGTTGTGAGATTCGTTAAATATATGATTAAAATGAGTTGTTGATCTGATTTAAAATTTAATAAAAAAAATTTAGATAACAAATAGAGGCTAAATATTTATTTAATTTTTGTTACGTAAAGTAGTATAATCAGACGGGGTGGAGTTGGGCTTTCAGGCAGCCCCAGTCGGACCAGGCCCATTTTAAGTCGACATTCCACTTTTTTCGAGAAGCTTCTCTCCCGAGTCCCAACTATAAAGCATGTAATCACTGATGAGATGAGATGAGATGAGATGCCCAACTGAGAACATTAGATTACAAGGTAATTTTCACCTTTTAGATTTTACGTTCTATGAATTCCATCTGTAGATACATTTTTATTCGTTCATTTTCCATTATATTTCCTAGTATAATTTTCATTGTTTTAATGGAGAATTTTATAGGGAAATGTAGCTCTGTTTTTTGATTTTCTTTATACGAAATTATCGATGAAAAATTCTGTAATAGTGCATGAGAATTCTGGGAGACGCACACATTTGCGCTTACACAAAGATAAATTTTAGATGGACTTTAGGTTCCATGGAAGCTGGAGCTGCATAGCAGCATAGGTGAAAATACTATTTTTGAAAAAAATGTAGGATACCAAAAATGCCGGTGATATGTTATATAAAATAATAAAAATTATTAATTTTTACAAATTCTATATCTGATTTTAGAAAAGCTATTTAGTATCGATTCAAATTATTATCTTTTGTGGTATAAGGATTAGAGTCTGTATTAAATTATTTTTTAGTTGAAGTTTATTCTTAGTTAAAGTTCGCAACAAAGCCCATAATGAGTCTAATTCTTGACCGAAGTTTTCTATTATATTGGCCAAAGTTTCCTATAAGTTTCTTCAAGCTCTCAATGTTTTGATTCCTGCAACTTAGTTTTTCTGAACAATCAATTGGTAGAACTGTAACCTTATGTTATTTTATCCATTTTATTTAGAGCCGTCGTGGTTATTTTATTCGTGTTGTATTGTTATATAGTTTTATGAGTGTGTTTTGATCTTATGTTTGTTTTTTTTATTTTTTTAATCATTTATTCTTAGCGTATTATTTTTTATTTAGGTGACCGAGTTCTTGTGTAATTGCATTCATGGCTAAGCTATTTGGAGGGAAAGATCCATTTGACCACCCGTTCTTCACCCAGCCATTTGGCAGTTTGTTTGGTGGGAATAATCCATTTGATGATCCTTTTTTCACACGCCCTTTTGATCAACAGCCTGGGTCACGGCAAATTACCATTGAGGAATTGGACCCTGATGGTGATAGTGGAAATGGTTTTCAGAACAAGGACATGTCAAATAAAGAACTTGTTGTTCGGAACCCTACTGATCATGCAAGTGGTATCCATTTTGTTTTCAATTTGTTATGTTATTTTTTCTTTTTCCCAAAATTAATGTGAAGGTTGCTTTTATAAGTATGAGCCTATGATGATTTTCTATATTAACAATATCTTCAAATGTTACATTTTAACAACATTTTATATTATGTTGATGGTTTTTATCAAAATATATTGAGATGGTTTAATATAGTATGAAAGCATGCATGTCATCATCCATTCATGATAATTGTGCACATGTAAGACCTTCGACAAAAAAATGATTTGACCCACGTGTGAGGATGCGCTTTTGTGATCAAATTTAAATAAATAAAGATTAAATACGATGCTAAGGCGATTGGTTAGGGAGTGCCCGATTCATTTTGAACAGAGGATGTTTAGGATATGCTAACAGAATTTCTGCAGTTTGCATGTTGATTTCTTTTGCCTTTTAATCTTTGTTCGTTATGTGGGATTGTTGGTGTTCACTCAATAGGTACCCAGAGCCTTAGTTATCAGAGTGTAGCATATGGAGGTACGGATGGAGTCTATTACAGTTCCTCTATTGGCAAAATGACTGGTGGTGATGGGGTGAGTGGCATATTCACGTGGGACGGTGTTGTTTTGGTGATTAATATCTTTCTAATCCTTATCCTTTTATTGTCATTGGAACAGGTGGTTTTAATGGAGATGAAAGAAGAAGATAAGATAGTTGGAGAATCACTTCACACATTGTCCAAAGGAATCCATGATAAGGTAATTTACTTGATGGGGTGCATTCTGGTATCATAAAACTGATCGCAATATATCTATAGAATGCAATGGATATCCTTGGCCTTGAGAAACTTCATCCTGGTGAATGTTTGGAATATGCTCATAAAGCAGGTCCTGTAAAGTTCCCTACAGTATGGTAATATTGTTCCATATTTGAGTTATCTGGCTCTCCTGATAGATAGCAAATATCTATCTTGAGGATTTGAAGTTCGTTCTTGGCAAACTATTCTAACTTCAGCAAATGCTTAATTCATAGAGTTAATCCGAGAACTTCGTAATGGAACCTATCTAGCAGTTCGAAATGAAACAGTCTGAAAGTTTGTCTTCTGTTATGTTCATTATTATTTATATTTTCTAATATTGCTTCTGTAGGGTCGTTCTGTTACTACAAAACACTCTTCAGATGGTAGAGTGGATTCACTACAGACTTTACACAATCTGAATGAAGGTTTGTTTCTTTTCGAAAGTGTTAAGAGGAATACTTCTAAGTAAATTTTTCTTCACGATAGATCTTGCTGCTGCTTTATTTTTATAGATGAGCTTGATAAATTTGAAGAAAATTGGAAGATCACTGCTGAGAAAAAATTACCTGGATGGAACGATGGGTTCAATTTACTTGAGAATGCAGGTAGGTTGCTTTAATATCTACTTTCTTGAGTTCTTTTTATTCCTTTTTCTTTCTAATTTTAGTCTGTTAATTACCTTCTGTCTTTTCCTCTGATATGACGTATTTTGAATATCTGGACTTAAAATTGAAAATAAAACACTCAAAGAAAGCTACAAATGTTTTCTGAAGAGTCTGTCTAAATTGGCTAGATCACCTGCCATTGGCACTTAACATGGTTGTATGAAAACCACAGGCACAAAGATTTGGACAATCTCGGGCTTCAATTCAACACCGTTTGAAGAGCACAAACTCATTTGTCCTGGAATCTTTTGTTGTTTACACATTCATCATGCATATGGATTGACATGGAACCAAATAGTCAAGAGGAAGTTGAACCATCTAATCCTACATCAAATTTGGGCTTATCTTGCAATGAGTAAATTGCAGTAATAATCACCCTTCAATTTATTCGAAGGTGTTCAATAGCATAACACCATCCTTGTTTCTATAGGATTTACAGGAAGTCCTGCATGGTGCAACTTGTTCAATTAAATTTGTTGAAGTTAACTCTGTAGCAGTGTTATAATGCTGAAATATATTCTAGACTAGACTGTTAAATAACAGTCCTTTGTCATTCTCATGCTCCGACAATGATAAATTTCAGAGTTACATATGATATACCATCCGAAGATGAATTCCGTGCTATCTGATTAGGAACACAGTTTTTTATTTTCTTTGTACAGATAATAAACACTGATATCCTATTCATTCACATATTTATAGTCATATGTTCGAGTCTGCTTGCCTTAGTCCTTTCCTAATACACTACCAATGTCTGCTTCCTGTTGTTTGTATTCCTTAGTTATCTGTCCTATAGGCGTGTCATAAATGATTGGGTTTTTCAGAAGAATAGGCTTGTTTGCCAATCCAGACAACATAACTGATGCATTAATGGACGATTCCACACCTTTATTTCTGTTGGAATCTGCAATTCTGTTACTTTTCAAAAGACACAGGTAAATATACGATATTAGGCAAATTTACGTTTTTACATGGATGAAAACATTGAAAATTTTGCCTTTTGAGGTTTTGCACTGTTGAAGTCAACCATGCCTGCTTGTTGCATAAGCTAGAAGAAATGTCGGTCTCCTGTAAGTATGAAACCTTTTCCTGTATTTTGTGCAGGGAGTGACATCAGTGCATGGAATGATTTCCCTAACTGGAGTGGTTGGGGTGGATGGGCTCTTCCGTCACTAGAATACTTTGGAAACGGTGGCGAAGCAGAACAAAATGGCGAATCCCAGGGGCATTCTTCACGTGGAAGATCCAGGAAAGTTGTCCCAGTCGAGTAAACGTTCTCAGTCTTTGTGGTGGTTCTTGTTAGTAAAATTAGCTCTATATGTTTGCCTATATATATAGTTTCAGTAAGTTATGTGCTTTGGTCTTTCGACATCCTGATCATATGGCCACGTGTTGTGTCAATATGATGTTGTCCTTGTGGAGTTTTCAGCCCATAAACTTCTAGTATAACCATGTCCCGTATCGAATTATGAAATCTTTGTGTACTTGCCTGGTCCGGATCATCTAAATATTATTCGATCTGCCTTTTTTTGTCTCTCTGTGTTCACTTTATGTTCCCGCTTGTTGCTAATAATCTAGCTGGTTTAGATTTTCAATACATTCTAGTTCGAGGTCAAATTATCGTCGTGCGACTTGATCATCTAAATCAATGATTTTCTTCATGTACGGATTCAAATTCAACGATTCAAATAGGTTGGGGATTTAAAACAATACTTTTGAATGTTGGAAGCCTATACTTAAAACTACGTGGAAGGTTGGGGATTCCTGTGCTAATTTACTCAAAATTAAATAGGGGATGAAAAATAAGCGATTTTGCCCGTGGGTCGACTTGATCACGTCACTGAATCGGAGCTCAGCTCATCCCCTTGCTCGTGGTGGAGCAAACTACGTGGAAGGTTGAGGATGCCCGTCCTAATTTACTCAAAATTAAATAGGGGATGAAAAGTAAGCGGGCCTGCCCGTGAGTCGACTTGATCACGTCACTGAATCGGAGCTCAGCTCATCCCCTAGCTCATGTTGGAGCGAGTCGAGTCGGTCGTTGATCAGGCGGGTGACCTTGGCCATTGCCACCCCCTATAAGTAGTCAATTTCCTATTCCAAGCATTGAATCCTTATTGTCTAATGTAATTTGTCCAATTCATACTTTATACATTAATTAATGTTATATCATGTGTTAGTACTTATTTTCACAATTTAAATTAACACATGTACATATCCAATACAAATTAATCAGATTTCAAATAATAATTTTTAAAAATTCTTATATAATTATTTAAGCATTAGATAACAATTACAAAAACAGAGGGTCGAAAGCTCGCTTATTCAAAAAAAAAAGAAAGAAATAGAAATTTAAATAAACATTTACAAGTCAAAAATAAGACCTTGTGAAATTTTTTCAACTATTTACACATAAAACATGTGATTACTCCTCTTTACAAAATTTTGCAATTACTCAACTTATAATTTCAACAAATTTACCGTCGGAACAAATGCTCCTCCCCTGACTTCCGATCGACGTGGCTGATCCACCGGTGGCGACCGCTGTGCTGACCATCGACCTTTCCTCCGTTGCAAGATACATACGCTATATCTAAACCATTCCCCACCGGTAGAATCACCGACCTAACCACTCTTACTGTATTATCAAGAACTTTAACCCATTGAATCCTATGATTAATACCTAATTGGGTAGCATTTTTGCAAACTAAAACTGCACCACGGTGGCTCAACTTAGCAACCCTAAAAACCCTAGTATAGTACTTGAACCGTGCATCCACCACTAGAAAATCAACCCCATCGAGAGTTTCGATTACCTCCGCTGCCTCTCCCACCAACACTTCCGGCAAGGATACTCCGGAATATTCTTCCATGGCGGTGATGTAATCTAGTTTGGACTTTTCATCTTTTACGATGCATACATGTCTGCCACCGGAGTGGCGGGCTGCAATAGCAAGGCCGACACTTTTTGTGGTTGCACCACCTGAAAACCATGCTTCTACGATTAGCTTTGCATTCCAGCCAGCAGCCATGGCAGATATCATCTCTGCTGCACTGGATTCTCTGTTAAGGCCACCACACTGCAAGCACAGCATATTTTTACACTGTAAGGTTATATTCTTTGCCCATCTTATTCGGCTAAAAATCAGATTTTTAGGAAATCTTAGATAAAAGTTGATGAAATACGTAGGTACGATAGACAGACGAGACGAGACTTAAAAGTTTATAGTGTACTTACGGATCTTATGGTGTCGATGTAAGCCGCGGAAGCTTTTTCGGGATACCAAACCAGCTTCATTTCTCTTCTTCTTCTTCTCTTCCTTAGATTTTCTCCTGATAAGCTCCTAACAACTAAGAATATATTTAGATCTATTGGTGGTTTCAAAGGTTTATTTCTTCGTTTATAAATAGTCGTTTGAGATAAGAGAGTTGCAATTCAATATAAGAGTTGACATTTGCATTGCAAGTACAATGTGTACAAGACTTGTCCTATTTACCAAATAAATTAGTCATGATAAGAGTTAGCCTCCGTTTGTTTATCATTATTCATCCATAAAAATAAAAAATATGATTGTTATCCATCACATCAAGCCATTAATTTTGAATTTCTATATCTTGTGTGGGGTCCAATAACGACTATATTTTTCATTCTCATTCTACAATAATAAGAATCAAACAGTCCCTTAATAGCATCTTGAACGGTAAACACTTTCAAGCACTACAATAAACTCTTTATTTTTAACACTTAATCTTACTGCTCCCAAAAAATATCTATTGTTTTTTCTTATATTTTATTTTTACTGACTTCTCTCTAAATTATTCTATTATTTTCCTCCATTGATAATTAAAATGTTTTGAATGCATTTAATTATAGAGAGTTGATTTAATTCTCCAAATTTAGAGAGCCGGACATACCCTCTATTTTAAAATATTAATTTAAATAGTCTTTTGGAGCATAATTTTAAGGATCGACTCTTCAAAATACATAGTATCTTATATTTTAAGAATATGCAAATTTATTGTTTTATTGAGAATATGAATACAACCTTATTACTTCGATAATCTTGGGTCATCCCTCCATTGACATGCATAATATCTGCTTTTACCGAGTTGCGGTGTGCTAATATTAATAATCAATATTTTACATCTATTTATCTTATTTATTTATTTATTTATTTTATATTCGCTCGTGGAATTAGTCCATTGCATTCTCTCACCAACCCTACTTGTGAAAATAAGAAAAAGTAAAGATCTTAGACTGATTTTTCATATTATTTATTTACTTATTAAAAATTGACTCATCGATTTAATTCATTTCATTGTCACATCAACCCCTACTCGTGAAAAATTAGAAAAGAATTTTTTTTAACACCATTTTATTGAATTATTAAATAATTAATTATTGAAAAATAAGATAAGGGAAAGTTCTTAATGAAAATTACTTTTATGTTAATTAAAACAATTGATATTATGATGCCTAGCTATGAATGCTTCGGAGATTTTTCGATGTTCATACTTTTAAGACAATTTTCTCATATGGATATCCGTTTACTTTTGTTATTGTAGTGAATGTACTCGTAGATTTATATTACGAATGAAAATATTGTCGGAGTGGCGTAAATTATTATATAATTTTGTTGTCGCATTCTCATTGGATCCCAAGTCTAGGTGCTCAAGTTGGCAAGAGTCTAACTTAACTTAAATAGTAACATTTATTGATTTTAGGGCACCATGACATTAAAACTTGGCTTTGACAATTGGCATATATATGGCTTAAAGTCAAGACTAGATAATTATGTATGCTGAACATATCATGATTATAAATTGTTCAAGTTGAAGGAGAGGAAGAAGAATATAGTCTCTTTAAATGCGTGAAAGCGACAATACAACTTGGTTCTTACTAAACAAAAATATCTCAGAAACCACTTTATCCTCAAATATCACGAACGAGCGTGCGTTTTTAGTTAAGTTTAAAAAGAAATAAGTTACTTAAGTGAAAAACTACTTTGTGTAGAGGGTATGATAGTATTCACTAGTGGCTCATCAAACATTTGTTTTTCGAAGTGCTTTACTTTTATTGTAGACCCATCTTTTTCTTTTTCTCCAAAACTCCTACGAAATAGTATGTTTCTTTTTAGCATATCATGTTTGGCAAGTTTAAGTTACTTAAAAATATTTTTTTACCAACTTTTAGCCTTGGTCGAAGGTTTTCTAACTTGTTCACCATAAGCTAAATTATTCGTAGGTATTTCCCATTAATAAATCTTGTTAATCTTTCTAGATGAACATATTTTTGATTGATTTATGCTGAAAGTACAGGAAATATTTTACAGAAATTCAACAGGTTTTTGAATTTTCAGTCACATGGGGTCCGCACCATGTATAAAATATTGAAAAAAAAATTATCTTCCCGCCCTTGAATGTGAGTGTTCAGTAAGTCTGTACTTATAGCTCGACTCTTTTTGATTTGCTACACCTATTAAAAGTTAATGTTCTATCTTAAAAGATTAACTTCACTAAAATAAATAATTCAAACTCTCATGTATTATTTACTAATTACTATTTAATTAAAGTAGGATAATGGCATGATCAGATAATCTTAGAATTTGCATGCTCATTTTTAGATGGACCATTTCTTGTTTGGGTTTGTCATGATATCATAATACAGAATTTCATCTTAAAATATCAACATTATTAAAAGTGGTAGTCCAAATCTGTATGTGTTGTTTTTTATTTTGATGTTAATCGACGTGAGACATACCCTTAACATGACTTGCATAATGACCAACTTATGAATTAAAAATATGATTACCCTAAGAGAATCCGATTCAAAGACAATTTAGGGGAAAAAACAATAGATCGATCTCAATGTAGTTAAAAAAATAAAATTATATGACTAATTCTAACTTATTGAGAATTTAAGGCTTTATTTTGTCGTTGGTACGAGGAAAAAATAAAGAAAATTAATAAAATATATGAAAGATGCATAAGTAGACTTTCTTGTCTTGATAACAATATAAAATAAATAATCCCAAGTGTATATGAATAAATATTGATAATAATATTATGATAAGGTCGTTACAAGCTGTACCTCAGCTTATCAACTTGTTGTCTTTTTATTTTGCCTAATTAATAAATAATAATTCTTAATTATATTCATGAAAAATGTGTAATGGGGTCATTGCATGGGGATTCATTTGTTTTTAGGTAATAACTAACTTCACTAAATTTTTGATGTCAATCCACGATCTAGGCTGGGAGTCAACACTGTTTAGACATGAAGCCAAAGTTGGTTAAATTAGTTCAATAAATTAGTGTACGTCGAACATATTGTGATACCGTTTGAAGTATTTCTGTGAGTCCTTGAAATGAGACGATGTCAAAAGGATTTTTATCCAAATGTTAATGAATCATGTATTTGTAGACGATATATATACACGGCAACACAAATGTATTGATAGTTGAAATGAAGACATTTATGTTGGACTTGTAAATCGATTCATAACCTTTCGAGCACAAATAATTATATGTGGTGATTATCGTCTCTATCCTTCAATAAATAAAAAAATAAAAAAAATGAGAAGTTGGAAAAAATTCGAGTCAAACGAATGTAATTGTCCTTATCTACAACTATTAAGCCCGCATTGATATTAAATTATACATTTAATCCTTTCAAGCACAAATAATTATATGTGGTGATTATCGTCTCTATCCTTCAATAAATTAAAAAAAATGAGAAGTTGGAAAAAATTCGAGTCAAACGAATGTAATTGTCCTTATCTACAACTATTAAGCCCGCCTTGATATTAAATTTTACATTTAATAAAATCAAACGTCATTAACGAAGTAGATTGTAATATTTTTAATGTTTTGTCATATTATTTTACTTCAAATTTCTTTATATCTAAACACAAGAAGGGGGATATTTTTTCATATAAGTTAAATAAATACGAACTTTGATTAATTAATAAAAAACAGGGATTAGGTCACATAAATTATAATAAATTGTTCAAGTTGAAGATGAAAGCAATAAAATGTTGTCCTATATATGCATGCATGAAAAAGACTTGAAAAATGATATGCTAGAGGTACGACAAAATTAAGTCCATGTTTGATAGAGATTAAAATTCAGATTTTAATTGTTTTGATTAAAATTAATTAATTGTTTTGATTTAAATTAAAATTAAAATTTTAATGGGTACCAAACATGGACTTAATTTATAATCATTGCAAAAGGGGGGAAAAGGAAGATACCAATTTTAAATTCAAAATAGATACAATTTGTATAATTAAATTATCATGATAAGGTTGTTGCAATGTGTACCTTTAGTAACGCCCTTTTGTCTATTTATATATTTATACAGCCTAAATCATGCTTATGTCTATGAAAGATGTGTTTGCGGGTCATAAAATTTGTTTCATTTGTTTAGTAATAATTAATTTCAATAGATTTGTTACGTCAGTTCAAAATCTAGACTCTACTCCACCTATTTTCACCATTATCAAGGTCGATAACAATGTGTTACACATTTGTTGTCTATTCTCATAGTCTTCGTTACCACTATCTCCACTATATCACCACCATCAATATCCTTATTGTAATACGTTATGTTACAACATACTGCCACTATTGAAAAACAACTAGACCACCGTCGTCACAATCACCATAATTGTGTAATGTAATGTTATATCGTCAATGTCAAATTGCCAACATCGCTCCGATTTCAAATTTTATACAAAAAAAAAAATTAAACAAAAAATAACATCTTTATAAATATAGATAAAAGTAAAAATTCAGGTCTGGTTCAAATAATAGGAGTAGTGGTGGCAACAACGATGAAAACGAGTGGTGGTGATAATAGTCATGGCCACCTATTCGAAGGGGATGCACGAGTGCGGTATCAAATCAAGATATGAATGAGGGAGAGGAGAAGATCTCATATTACTTGTAAAAGTTCGTAATTTGTGAATAAAAAAGAGAGTAAAATTGGAATTTCAAAACTATAACAAGTGCACAATGTAAAAAAAAAAAAATCACCACTAATCCCTAGGAGTTACTATTGGGAACTAATCCACCACGATAGTAGAGGTGGGATAGCCCGCAACTTGAATTGGCTTCGCCGAGCTGTGGGTTGGGAAAGGGTCAAAGAGAAGCACTACATGTGCATGTGATGTCTATGTTAAAAATTCCCGTGTAGATTTTTACTTTTTCAAAGCATAAAAGCACTTTAAGAGGTCAAAATTTCTTTGATTAAAATAGTGACCAAAAAAGTACTTTTTGACCCAAAAAAAGTTATT